TATTTTTTTTTTCACACACACACACCCAGGAAACAGCCCGTAGCAGCTGTCTAACTCCCAGGTACCTATTTACTCCTAGGTAACAGGCCATCAGGGTGAAAGAAACTCTGCCCATTTGTTTCGGCCAGCGCCGGGGATCGAACCCTGGTCCACAACAGGACCACGTATCCAGCGTGCGGTCCACTCAGCCACCGACCCCTTGTGCGTGCGTGCATCTTCACTGCGAGTGTCTGCATATCCCGTCGGGGATTTCTGTCCGTTGAACAAATCCCTCTCTATATACGCGAGTAATCCGGACAAATCCTGGTAAATCACGTGATATCCTCTCCCGCTGTGGCACTCGTTGTAGGTGTGCGTTGCTCAGGTGTGTTGCTCAGGTGTGTTGCTCAGGTGTGGTGCCCAGTTGTGTTGCTCAGGTGTGAAAGAACATAGAGGGGTGTGAGGAAGGAAGCAAAAATATGAGGTGAGAGGTGATAGCGGAAATGACAGAGATAACAGTAAGTAACAAACATTATAACGAAACATCAGGTGGAACGGAAGATTTGATGATATGCTACAATCATTTTTTAATATTAGTGTTCACATTGATATTTGAACAGCTTGAGTTCATGTGAATTCCGAGACAGTTCACACTAGTGAGCCCAAGAATGTCCATTCAAGCAAAAACAGCTTTACACAAGCAAAGACCCGAGCTGTTAACAGCCTCGTATTTATTGCTGCAAGAAGACAACAATAGAAGTGACAAAGATGTGCAACACTCACCACCACACAACACCCACCAACACACAACACTCACCACCACACAACACCCACCAACACCCACCAACACCCACCAACACCCACCAACACCCACCAACACCTACCAACACACAACACCCACCAACACCCACCAACACACACCCACCCACCAACACCCACCAACACACAACACCCACCACCACACAACACCCACCAACACCCACCAACACCCACCAACACCCACCAACACCCACCAACACCCACCAACACCCACCAACACCCACCAACACACAACACCCACCAACACCCACCAACACACGACACCCACCAACACACAACACCCACCAACACACAACACCCACCAACACACAACACCCACCAACACACAACACCCACCAACACACAACACCCACCAACACACAACACCACCAACACACAACACCACCAACACACAACACCCACCAACACACAACACCACCAACACACAACACCCACCAACACACAACACCCACCAACACACAACACCACCAAGACACAACACCCACCAACACACAACACCCACCAACACACAACACCCACCAACACACAACACCCACCAACACACAACACCCACCAACACACAACACCCACCAACACACAACACCCACCAACACACAACACCCACCAACACACAACACCCACCAACACACAACACCCACCAACACACAACACCCACCAACACACAACACCCACCAACCACACACACACCACACACCACCACACACAACACCCACCAACACACAACACCCACCAACACACAACACCCACCAACACACAACACCCACCAACACACAACACCCACCAACACACAACACCCACCAACACACAACACCCACCAACACACAACACCCACCAACACCACACACACACCCACCAACACACAACACCCACCAACACACGACACACACAACACACCACACCCCCACCAACACACAACACCCACCACACACACAACACACAACACCACCACCACACACAACACCCACCAACACACAACACCCACCAACACACAACACCCACCAACACACAACACCCACCATCACACAACACCCACCAACACACAACACCCACCAACACACAACACCCACCAACACACAACAACACCACCAACACACAACACCCACCAACACACAACATCCACCAACACCCACCAACACACAACATCCACCAACACACAACATCCACCAACACCCACCAACACACAACACCCACCAACACACAACACCCACCAACACACAACATCCACCAACACACAACACCCACCAACACACAACACCCACCAACACCCACCAACACACAACACCCACCAACACACAACACCCACCAACACACAACACCCACCAACACACGACACCCACCAACACACAACACCCACCAACACACAACACCACCAACACACAACACCCACCAACACACAACACCCACCAACACACAACACCCACCAACACACAACACCCACCAACACACAACACCACCAACACACAACATCCACCAACACACAACACCACCAACACACAACACCACCAACACACAACACCCACCAACACACAACACCCACCAACACACAACACCCACCAACACACAACACCACCAACACACAACACCCACCAACACACAACACCCACCACACAACACCCACCACACACAACACCCACCAACACACAACACCCACCAACACACAACACCCACCAACACACAACACCCACCAACACACAACACCACCAACACACAACATCCACCAACACACAACACCACCAACACACAACACCACCAACACACAACACCCACCAACACACAACACCCACCAACACACAACACCCACCAACACACACACACCACCAACACACAACACCCACCAACACACAACACCCACCAACACACAACACCCACCAACACACAACACCCACCAACACACAACACCCACCAACACACAACATCCACCAACACACAACACCACCAACACACAACACCACCAACACACAACACCCACCAACACACAACACCCACCAACACACAACACCCACCAACACACAACACCCACCAACACACAACACCCACCAACACACAACACCCACCAACACACAACACCCACCAACACACGACACCCACCAACACACAACACCCACCAACACACAACACCCACCAACACACGACACCCACCAACACACAACACCCACCAACACACAACACCCACCAACACACAACACCACCAACACACAACATCCACCAACACACAACACCACCAACACACAACACCACCAACACACAACACCCACCAACACACAACACCCACCAACACACAACTCCCACCAACACACAACACCCACCAACACACAACATCCACCAACACACAACACCCACCAACACACAACACCCACCAACACACAACACCCTTCAACACACAACACCCACCAACACACAACACCCTTCAACACACAAAAATCCAGTAAACATCCCAAATAATTTTATGGAAGAATTCTCATCTCCAGCGTCCAAGGAGCAACTCTCAGAGATCATCATAAGTAGACAATCAGAACTGTCACCAATACGTTGACAAACAATCACTACCTGAGACCATGACAGATGACAATCAAATCCCTTCACAATAGACCAGATCCAGCAACAAGAAGGAAAAGGCGCAGCCACGGCTCCTGGACGGGGACATGGGTATATATTGAAGAATTAAGCACTCTGGAAGCGTAGAACAGCAATTAGTGCTCACTTTTATCAATAAGTTCCTCTAAATGGAAAAACTCCCAAATAAATGGAACGAAGCTGATTTCCAAGCCAAGAGAATCTTGGTTATCTTGAGATGATTTCGGGGGCTTAGTGTCCCCGCGGCCCGGTCCTCGACCAGGCCTCCACCCTCCAGGAAGCAGCCCGTAGCAGCTGTCTAACTCCCAAGGGACCTATTTACTGCTAGGTAACAGCGGCATCAGGGTGAAAGAAACATTTTGCCCATTTGTCTCCGCCTCCACCGGGGATCGAACCCGGAACCTCAGGACTACGAATCCGAAGCGCTGTCCACCCAGCTGTCAGGCGCCCTGTACAAGTAGGCAAATATCGTCTAATATCACATTTGTCCTGCATAGCCAAAATAGCAGAACAAATGATTCTCTTTACTATTGACCCCAGATGGAAAATTTGTCCATTTCATTCTAATATACTGGTATTAAAGAGAGGTCTATGAATATCCATCTGGCTTGTTAACGACTTTGGACACCAAAAATGCGATATTCCTCGTCTTTCTGGGCCTAGAGAACGGTATTGTTACCAACCACTCAGTCCATCCTATGTTTGTTGATTGCAAAAGAGGGTAAGGGGTAACTTACTTATCTGGGTTCATGATGACATCACTGATCAAAAACTCTGAGTATGATTCCAAGGACACATTATATGAGACTAAGATTCTATAAAATGGGACATCTTGATGGGAAAACTTGTCATGCTCAGGCTGCCACCCACACAAACTTGTCATGATCAGGCTGCCACCAACACAAACTTGTCATGCTCAGGCTGCCACCCACACAAACTTGTCAAGTTCAAGTTCAAGTTCAAGTATGTTTATTGAGACAAGAAAAAAATACATCTCAAAGGGATAGAGTAGCTTAGGCTATTTCTACCCCCCCAGGACAAAAAAACTTGTCATGCTCAGGCTGCCACCCACACAAACTTGTCATGCTCAGGCTGCCACCCACACAAACTTGTCATGATCAGGCTGCCACCCACACAAACTTTATTACCCTCGCCAGTGATCTTGTCAGTATATCAAGTGGAAATCACATCCTTTGAAAAACCCAACAACCTTCCTCCGTAAAATAGGGCACACAGCAGTTGCCTTAAATCTTAAATTAGGGCTTAAAATATCTATTAGAAAAATCAAAAGCCATGTACTATGCAATACCTGACCCACAAACGAACCTCCTATATAAAATATTGAATTGGAACGCGGTAAGAGACTACAAATACCCAGGAATATGGATCCACAAAAGACAGGCAAATACGATATATGAAGGAAAGAACAACCTAAAGGCTTACCTCAATGGCAGTTGTGTCCGGACACAAGATTGGTGTTACACAAAAGTCTCATGACAATCTACACTCTCGCAATCCCATCCATTCATCACTCATCACTCTCTCCAAACAAAAGAATCAAAACCTTTGAAACTGTTGAGAAGAGCCACGAAGAGCACAACAGATGCACAAAAATTGCCAAAACTTACAATCCATGCCTGGAGACAAATCATGAACCACTTGAAGCTCCGATCCAAACCCCAACAGCATCCCTAGCACTCTAGGTCTATAAAAACCTATACCGGATGCCTCTTCCATAAGAGACTCGTAGTTGTAAAAACAAAAAAACATCCTTCAGAACATTGATCCATGGGTGACTATACTAATCAAGAACTTTAAACACCTTCAGATCTATAACATCCTTTACCAAGCTGGACCTGACTCAGCCGCCCCAGGCCCCCCACCACCGAGGCCTCCAGCCGCAGAGCTCAGATTGAGCCTCCAGCCGCAGAGCTCAGATTGAGCCTCCAGCCGCAGAGCTCAGATTGAGCCTACCAAAATATCAAGGAAGAAACTGCATCACATACATAATAAATAAATGGAAATTGAGAAACAGAATGGAGGACAAAGAGAGAACTCTAAGAAATTTAGAGACACCGATAAAAAGATGCTAAAAGTTGGTACAAATATTAAAATTTAAATTGATTTAAACAAGTACACGTAACTTGCATTGCAAAACCCGGTTTAAACACACACGAAAAAATAAGTTGTTTGTGCGAAAGTTCTCGAATAAAATAGCGACAGAGAAAGTTTGAGAAAACAGAAGTTATCAGAGAGGCAAATATTCGTTGTGGGATGGACTCATGACAAGATATATGAACAAAATTGAAGGTAAATAAAGAGGGAGCCAGAGAATTAGAGTTTGAAATATGGACATTTATGCATTCCCATTTGTATATTTTTGTATGAACGGTGTGTGTGTGTGTGTGTGTGTGGTGTACTCACCTACTCGTGCGTCGAGCTTTGGCTCTTTGGTCCCGCCTCTCAACTGTCAATCAGCTGGTGTACAGATTCCTAAGCTTCTCGAGCTCTATCACATCTGCATTTGAAATTGTCTATGGAGTCAGCCTCCACCACCTCACTTCCTTGTGAATTCCATTTAATAACTACTCTGACACTGAAAAAGTTCTTTCTAATGTCTCTGTGGCTCATCTGGGTACTCAGCTTCCACCTGTGTCCCCTTGGGCGTGCACCACCCATGTTAAATAATCCATCTTGGTCTACCCTGTTAATTCCCCTGAGAATTTTGTATGTGGTGATCATATCTCCCAGAGCTCTTCTGTCTTCCAGCGACGTGAGGTGCAGTTCATGAAGCCTTTCCTCGTAACTCATGCCTCTTAGTTCTGGAACTAGCCTAGTGGCATACCTCTGAACTTTTCCCATCTTCGTCTTGTGCTTGACAAGGTACGGGCTCCATGCTGGGGCCGCATACTCCAATATTGGTCTTACATATGTGGTATACAAGGTTCTAAAGAATTCCTTACACAGGTTTCAGAAGGCAGTTCTGATGTTATCGAGCCTCGCATACGCCGCCGATGTTATTCTGTTGATGTGGGCTTCAGGAGACAGGTACCGCGTGATATCAACTCCTAGATCTTTCTCTCTGTTTGTTTCGTGAAGGACTTTATCTCCCATTCAGTATCCAGTGTCTTGCCTCCTATTTTCTCCGCCTAGTTTCATCACCTTACAAATAATTGGGTTGAACTTTAGTTGCCATTTGTTATACTTTTCCTCCAGTTTGTTTAGGTCATCTTGTAGCCTCATACTATCCTTCTCTGTTTTAATCCACCTCATAAGTTTTGCATAATTTGGGTGCTTGTGTGTGTGTGTGTGTGTGTGTGTGTGTGTGTGTGTGTGTGTGTGTGTGTGTGTGTGTGTGTGTGTGTGTGTGTGTGTGTGTGTGTGTGTGTGTGTGTGTGTGTGTGTGTGTGTGTGTGTGTGTGTGTGTGTGTGTGTGTGTGTGTGTGTGTGTGTGTGTGTGTGTGTGTGTGTGTGTGCACGCACGCGTGGGCCAGCATGTGGGTATGAGTTTCTAATCACGCAAACTGTGAGTTTATTTTTCTAGGCGCATCCAAGTGTGTATATGTATTCCGTATTTCTTTGTCACAAACACACGAGAATGTTTGCGCGCACGAAATCGCACATGCGAACCCACGCACGCACACTGGGATGATCTATATATCAATGCTTACCAAGCTAGATTCACGACGCTAGTAACAGAAGAGACAGAGGTGTAATGATCCAGCCCGTGCTGTTAAGGTTTCTCAACGTCAAGAAACTGTCGTACTAAAGTGCCCTCTCCTAACCTACCAGAGGACCCAAAACAGAAAACGGGACAGTATGTCAATTACGCGAGTCGTTACCACTTTCTAGTACGACAATTTCTGGCCTTCGGTATTTTGATGGTATAAGTGAAAATGCGAAGTTCTATTGTTAGGACGAGTTGAATGAAAACAGTGGTCCCCCATGGCTCAGTGGTAAGACCCTCGCTGCGCGCTGTGCATGCTATTTGTCCTGGGTTCGTATCCTGGCCGGGGGGGATTGACTAGGCGCCAATCCTTAACTGTACGCATTTGTTCTCCCAGCAGTGAATGGGTACCCTGGATGTTAAACGATTTGGCGGGTCTTACGTGAATGGTGGTTATGTCTAGACACAAGATTGGTGTCAAACACAAGTCTCATGAGAATCTACACTCACGCAATCCCATCCATTCATCACTCATCACTCTCTCCAAACAAATGAATCAAAACCTTTGAAACTGTTGAGAACAGCCACGAAGAGCATAACAGATGCACCAAAATGACCAAAACTTACAGTCAATACCTGGAGATAAAACATGAACCACTTGAAGCTCTGATCCAAACCCCAACATCATCCCTAGTAGTCAAGATCAGGGCAGAAATGTTACTTAGAATTATGCTTTCCACATTTAACACTAAAAAAAATAAGTACATTTATATAAGGTTGAACTCATTCAAGCATGGACTCATCAATTAACTTATTCCCACACGAACTACTCATCAAACTCATTCAATCATATACTCGTCAATAGACTCAGTGGTATAGACCTTAAGAGTGGATTAATTTCATTGCGAATATCTTTTTTCGTGAGAAAAAACTTGTTACTCGACAAAATGTTTAATAATCCTGCTGAATAGACCAGCCATAAACCCTTCAGACAAACTGCCCGAACCAAGAAGAAGAAGAAGAAGAAGAAGAAGAAGAAGGCGAAGAAGAAGAAGAAGAAGAAGAAGAGTAGAGTAAGAAAGAAGGCTAGCAAAAGCTATCTGGGAGGCGTGCGTAAACCAAGACGGAATGTTAAACCAAGTTAAACCCAATCTACTCGTAAACCAAAACCAGAAACATCACCCAAAGAGGTGTGCCCCATTTCTCGGTGTACGTATAGAAGAAGGTATATATACTTTGTATACGTACGGTGTACGTATACAAAGAAGTATACTAAAGTATACTTCTTTGTTGGTCAGTAAGTTTCTTCAGTGGCCTTAATAACCAGCAGAGATGAGCAGGCCAGAAGCTCTTCAACGAATCAAAATCATCGTCGCCGTAAACGACGTGATGAGTATAGGGTGAAAACATACTCTAGCGTGACTTTGAGCATCATGTTGTGTTCTAGTACATGGATCATGTCGTGTTCTATTACATGTATCATGTCGTGATCTATTACATGCATCATGTTGTGTTCTAGTACATGCATCATGCTGTGTTCTAGTACATGGATCATGTCGTGTTCTATTACATGTATCATGTTGTGTTCTAGTACATGCATCATGTTGTGTTCTAGTACATGCATCATGCTGTGTTCTAGTACATGGATCATGTCGTGTTCTATTACATGTATCATGTTGTGTTCTAGTACATGCATCATGTCGTGTTCTAGTACATGTATCATGCTGTGTTCTAGTACATGCATCATGTCGTGTTCTAGTACATGCATCACGTCGTGTTCTAGTACATGTATCATGTTGTGTTCTAATACATGCATCATGTGTTCTAGTACATGCATCATGTTGTGTTCTAATACATGCATCATGTGTTCTAGTACATGCATCATGTCGTGTTCTAGTGCATGAGGCAGCTGTGGGATGGAGAACACGTAAGAGCGTAAACTTAGAAAGAGATATTCCTCTTGTGAGGAAAGACCTGTGGGCAAGAGTGTTGCCAATCGTCTCTGCTACCATATTTACGATGAGAATTTTGTTTCCTATAAATCCAACTGGGCGATAGGAATGTGCGGAACCACATCTTTAGTGAGAAAGAATGATAAAAAAATAAAGAAAATTGAACCAAACGAGGCAGTTCCTATTTATATCCATCCAATCTCAATGCTTAGTTTCAAGAGGAGATATGATCAGTATCAGGCTTCCGAACGGGGCGACGGACGCCTAACAGATTAAGTCCACTACGGGCTCACGATAGCCCGTCCTACTTCGAACTTTTTGTTCCAGGTAGCGAATCTTAAACAACAACAACAGCCTGACAGACTGAGCCCAGAAGCTGAAGGCCGCTCAGCAAGCACATCTAGGCGAGTAACCTAGGTGAACACACCCAAACGTACTCTGCATAGTAACACAGGTTCCCAAAGGTAGGTGAGGACCGGGACAAGCTCATTGTTTACATAAGAAAATATAAGCAGGCCGGTCTGGGAACGCCCCAAGCGAGCTACACTGTAAAAACACTTCTCGGGTTTGCGGTTACTAACGTATAAAACAACTGGCTTAAGAAAACTACTCCAAATTCATGTATTTTTTATGACTAAAAATATCTTACTATATCTTACTTTCGCAGAGTGCGCTTGAAAATTATTCAGACTTATTTGTAATAGTTTGTGTAAATTTGTTCTTAACCAATCTGTGATTACACCTGATACATTATAGTGTAGGGAATATTTGTGACGGTTCCTGGATACTAGGAAAAATATATTTTCCTATACTGTATATAAATGTATTTATATTGTAAATACCAACTTTTGCAAAGAGACATTTATCATCAATTCACACACACACACACACACACACACACACACACACACACACACACACACACACACACACACACACACACACACACACAGAAATCATACTAACGTGAAGAATCAATGAGAAAATCAGTAGGAGCCGTTATGAGGATTCGAACCTATGCGCTGGGGTATTCCCAGACACACGCCCCAGACAACTGGGTGCTTGGGAAT